TTTATGTGGCTGGAGGAATTAGTTTAAATTTCTATGTTTTTAAGTGGAATATACCATTAAAGTTGTAGGTTAAGCTCTCGACTTCCAGTCACTCATGCGTCACCGGGTCGAGTCCTGCTTTGCCTATTTCAGTCTGGGCAATTAATTAAGAAGTATCATCAGCTCTCACACAGTAAGTGTAGCTCATATAGCCTGTTCCGGATAGTCGTGTTCAAACAAACATGACTTCTCCAAGATAATTATTTCAATAAAATAAAAAGGAAACCTATTTGTTTATCGACTTGGTTCTTTTATTGTTCGAGAGAAACCAGAGAAACAAAAACCTTCTTTGTTTATCTAAAAATGTCACAAAAACTTGTCATTTCACACTATTTAGTGGGAATTTCTTATTTTTACATTGTTCAGTGGAATTAATTAATTTAGTTTTTCCTAAATGTCCAAATTTTAGGTTTGTGTGGATTTTGATTAGCTTCAGTTTAGATCTCTTCAGTAATTGAAATTGATTGGGCAACTATTGAAAGCCAACACGTATTGAACAGCATCTGCTTCCTGTGTGATCGGTACTCTTTAGCAGTACAAACCCTTAACCCCACCACTACCTAGGAGCCACCATTCAGGCACATGATTATAATTGAATGACTTATGAACTTTAGCTTGTGGCAATTCGTGATATAGTGCCACCTTCAAAACTAGAGTCATCGGTTGGAGCACTACTGAGAATTCCCAGACGATGGCGAATCAATAGGTTTTTCGTGACTCTCTAACTGTGATGTTGACTTGTGATGGTAAAATCTACGTGAATATTATTTTGAAAGGTTCCAGTGAAAAACACTTATATGGTGAGAAGTCGTGACCAGTAGGGTGCAGCAGGTTAGGTGTGAGGACAAATACTCGCGCTATGCCGTGAATTGGAAGAAGTTAGAATTCATGGGCCATTGGATCGGGTCCCAGTGGCTTAATGGTATATGAGCTCGCCTTGTAAACCAGAAGGTCCTGGGTTCGAATCCCGGTGGGTGTGTACCGCTGAAGAGTCCCAAACTAGGACGAACTAGCTGTCCAGTACTCCCAGGTTTTCCAATGGTTCTCTAACTAATGTCAGCTTATGATGAAAATTCTGTAACTTATATAGAAGTTGGATTTATAGGAAATTTTGCCGCATATATAATTGCGCTACTTCTCAATCCAAATAACTGTTTTAGATTTTTTTCAATGGATGTGCTCATCAGTTTCGAAACGAATTGTAAATAAATACTCGCTGATTATATTATCTCAGTCGCCATATATCACGAATTGGCAGAAGTTAGAATTAATGGGTCATTGGATTCTTTCCCAAGTGGCTAAATGGTTAACCATCTCTCTTTGTAACCTAAAGATCCTTGCTTTGATCCCTTGGGGGAGGGAGAATGTGTGTGATGAAAAAGCTAAAGTTACTCCCCAGCCAGTCTTGAAATAAAAAGAGGATTGTTCCATGTCAATGAGAATCTCTTCGTTGATATCTTGTCAGTTATATTCATCATTGGTATTAGTTAAAGTTTCCGTTGTATTTGTTTTTGAATCATATTTTATTTAATCTACTTACTTGGCTTCGAGCTACACCTATTTATATATGTGGGTTGGTAGCACTGTGTTAGTTAGCCTAGGTGTCAGACCTGTCGGTTATTGGTTTAAAGTTGAACGTCTAATCCAATTATGCACACGATTGCTTAATATTTTAAGGTAGAGAAAAAAGACAACTAAACAGAATGTAACTGGGATATGATTTCATTTCTCAGCATTAAAAATTTTGTACTCAACTAGTGTTTTTTTAAAAGAAATATATAAGATCTAGGTTACTCTGACTTTTTAAAATAAAGCGATTAATGGAGGGAGAGGGAAGCTCATTGAGATGGAGTTAGATGTAATAATAATAAAGACGAATGGGAACTGAGTTCTTCATTTCCTGATTATGTGTTGGTGTACGCGTTGTGGTAGCCTTGAATTATATTTACGTGAGATAAGATCGACTGTGGGGGTAAGAGGGAATATTTTTTGAATAATAAACCTACCTGTTTATATTTGTTTTCATGTTTCTCACTACTTTATATGGATAAAGCGAGCCTTTCCCGTTTATTTTTTTCATGTGGAAAAGCGAGTCAATAAAACAGTTTACATTACTTTTCGATCACTTTATTTTTAAAAATATAATTGTGAACTACTAATATATAACATTTTCCGTTCAAAATGATTTCATTATGTCAACTTTTAATCGATTTAAGTGTGTATGTGCATATATATATATATATATATATACTAACTGAGCTGAAGTGAATTTGCAACACTTAGGTTCCTACGTAGGGCTTCAACAACACATCTCTACTTTGTTCTATTTTCTGCTGTCCTCTTTAGCTGGGTCCATGACTGCCCATAATCTCTCATCTCCTCTCACGATCTCCTCCATGTCACCCTAGTACGACCCACTCGTTTCTTCCCATTCCGATTCCACCCGAGCGATGGCCTGCATTGCACGCGATGTTATTTGACGGCCTCATCAGCGTTTACCCAATCTATCTCCGTTTTCTTCTCCATATTTGTTGAACAGTTGGTTCTTGGTTGGTTTGTTGCCAGAGTTTCTTGTTGCTAATTCTTCCTGGCTGACCAGCCATCTGATGTTCTAAATGGAGCCAGCGAAGACAGCTGTTGATAAATGTCTGTAACTTGTTGGAAATGTTTTCCGTGACGCGCTGGCCAAGTTTCCGACCCATATAGAAGAGCTGACTGAGTGACTTCACATTGGTGTTGAAAATCTGAATCTTGTTCTTTATTCTGTCTGAGTGCAGAAGATTTCCAAACTGATTTCAGATTGATGAAGGCGTATCTTGCCTTTCCGGTTCTGGCTAGCTTTGACATCTTCAACCCCTGTGGTTGAAACGATGCTTCCTAGATAAGTGAAGGAAGTAACCTCTGTTAAATCTCTCTCGTGGATGGTGATTAGTGGTGGTTGTTGTTGCTGTTGGTTGGCTATCTTCATCACCTCCGTCTTCTCTATATTCACCTGGAGACCTGTTTTCGCTGCTTCTACAGCCAGTCTGTTTGTTTTGTGCCTACGAGTCTTCGAATCTGTGTGATATTAAACATAAATCATCTGCGAAATCCAGATCTTCTAGAGTCTTCTTATCGGTCCAACGTATTCCTGCAGGTAGTGGTCCATTCAAGAGTCCTTTGAAGTGATCAACGCATTGTTTTATTCGTCTCTCCTCTTTTCTAATTAGGTTCCCTTGATCATCTTTGATTGGCTTCATCTGCGTTGGTTTCTTCCCGCATAGAGACCTGTTTATCCGGTATAACATTCTGAGGTCTCTTTTAACTGTTGCCTGTTCTGCTTTATATGCCAGTGCGTCGAAGAATTGTCTTTTGTCTTTTCTAGCACTCTTCATTTCTTTGTTCAGTGCTATGTACACTCGACTCAGCTTGTCGTTCTGTTGTTCATCTTTGTATTGGTTCATCTTCTGTTTCACCGTCCTTTTTTGTATTAACTTTCAGGTATCCACCGAGAGTCCTCTTCTTTCCTTCTAAAACGGCTGTAAATGTCTTCTTCAACATCACTTTCAAAGAGTTTTAATGTTCCTCCACACAGGTTTCCTCAGTGACGCTATGTAGTGTCTCCTACTTTGCTTTGATCTGTAGTGAACGTATTCCTTGTAGTTTTGTCCTTCAGTTTCTGAATGTTGAACTTGAATTGTGGTCTGTCTCCATTTGTTTTCATGGATTTCAGCTTCACCTTGAAGGTTCTTTGAAATAGATGATGCTCTGAGCCCACATCTGCTCCCCTTCTCAACTTTGTGTCCAGCAGACTGCGTCTCCACTTCCTTGAGCAGCATTGAGATGAAGTCTATCTGCTTTGTGGTGTGTCCGTCAGCCTAAATCCGTGTTGCTTTGTGTTTATCCTTCTGCTTGTACACGCTGTCTCCGATCACCATACCATCGAATTCGCAGAATTCTGCGAAGAGTTTACCGTTGTTATTCATTTCACTCAGAGTCTCTCGACCCATGATGAATTGTCTTCTTGTATTATCAGCCCCCAGTTTAACTTGCGTTCATATCGCCCATAAGGATTTTGATATCGCCATTCCGGATGTTGTCCATTACTGTTAGTAGTTGTCTATAGAAATCTTCCTTCTTCACTCGTTCCGCGTTGTTTGTGGCACTGTGCGTGGCATTGGATAATTGTAACCTTCCATTCTTCCTTTTGAGTTGAATCTTGCTATCATGATCCTAGAGGGAGATTTTGGTTTCCACTGCATTAGGACGTTGGCTGCCACTGATGACATCATGATAGCCACTCACTGCCTGAGTATGCTCGTGGTTGTCGTCTGGGTGACCGGAGTAGATTACTTATTCTCCAGATGACAATTTTGATACTACACATCTATTGCATCTGCTGTCGCAGATTCCTATTCCCCTTCCTTTTTCTTGTTTTGATCGAGAGAATACACGGCAGCTGGCTGAGTGGCTTCCCGAAGGCTTTCACCAACCCGTTGTGTCATTTTGCCTCTGCGATTCCATCGAAGAATAAGTTTTTTAAAATATTTTTTGTATTTTTAATATATTTATTGTGCCTTGAGGTTTCTATAGCAGTTCGATTGGTTTTGTGGTGTAGGGTCGCTAGCCCCACGCCCAACCCTCCCTCTTTACTAGTGCCTAAGACCGGCTAGGAAACTAGCGAGCTAGTAAACCAGGGGAGGTTGGAAGCACGCATAGTGGTGTGGAAAAAGAAAGTCAATCTTGACATTATAATTTGAGTCTAATTTCTTTTTTTTACATTGCACATATGTTATGCTGTTATTCGGTTTTATAATTTACCAGGGCAGGGGTTTATGTTTATTTTATACTAACTACTTAGTCGCCCCATTCACATACCGAACTGTTTATATCCTGATAAAGCATTCAGTAATATCTGATCACTCATTGAATCACATTCACAATAAATGCAAATAAAATTTTATTTTTTCAATCATTGGTAGGCATCTGTGACTGCAGTTGATGAACCACGTGAATCACACAAATCCTCAACACGTAAACGTCCAACTCCAACAACTAATCCAACAACAGTTACCTCAGAAAGTGGACATAACTTACGCTATGCAAACACCGGTGTCACTGCTAATAATAGCACTGCTACCGTCAACATGAATAATACCGTTAGTCCTAGTGGGGTTTCCGGAGGAGCAAGCAGTGGTGGAGGTGGTAGTAATAATCGTTTAACAGTTAGTCCTGGTGAAAATGTCTCTACTACTACATCATCACGTCATCATCATCGACAGTCAAGTACTAGTAGTCGTCAGAGAGCATCGTCTGGTAATTCTACTGAGAGTCGAGAAGCCAGTTTAGAAAATGAACGAGTTATACTCGCCTCCAATTCAGCTGGAATAGTAAAGAAGGCGAAGAAAGGTAAGCATTAACAAACACCAACATTATTGATTTTTAACATTAATTTCCCAATAAACGCTATCATCAGATTGCAATAAAACTGATTGTTATTTGTGGTCGTTTGGCTTGAACAAAACTCTTTAAGCTATCTGTTAGTTAGTTTTCTGTTTATGTTATTTGGTTGATGATGGATGAGAGTGAAATCCGAGACATGTATTCTACCCTATTTGCAACTCCTATTCCTCAGATCCCACTAGGGATAGAAACCATGACCTTTAGATATACTCACTGACTATTCAACTACTGGGATGTGGAATCCAATTATATATGAAATCTATTATGGAGGGAATTTTATTTTGTAAATTCTCATAGTAATATTTACTGATGGGATCACCAATATCCCCCATCGTAGCAGATATCTTTATGGACAGCTGCGAAAATATTTCTCTTAATACATTTAATCCTGCGCCAAAGATATGGTGGAGATATGTGGATGACACTTCAACAGTGTTAAAAACAGAACAAATCTCTAGTTTCTTCACACACACAAACTCACTAGTAAAATGAAAAAAAATTCACATTTGAATCGGAAAATGAACAAGGAGAATTAGCTATGTTAGATTGTAAAATAAAACGAACGGAAGAAGGTAAACTGAAGACCAGCATCTATAAAAAGCCAACGCATTCTAATAGATATTTAGACTTTAATTCATCTCATCCGTTATCTGTTAAGGCAGGGTTAGTTAAGTGTCTGACAAACAGAACAATAGCACTAAGTAGTACAACAAAAAACCTGAATGATAAAATGAAACAGATAGAAGAAGCGTTGGTGTTTAATAACTAACTATCCTATAAAATTCATTAGGAAGATCAGTAAAGGTCAAAAGCAAAATAAAAATAATGGTGAAACTAATAATGATGACATAAGTAGGAAAGAATATAAGGTATCTACTGTTCCACCATATAAGGAGGGGACATCTGAGCCTCTACATAGGATTCTTAATAAAGCAGGAATTAGAGTGACATTTAAACCTACAAACTCACTCAGAGACAAGCTCTGTAGGTTAAAGGATCCAGTGGACCCAACTAAATAAAATGACATAATTTACAAAATAGCTTGCAATGACTGTGAGTTAAGTCAACTACATGGGTCAAACTAGTAGGTTGGGAGTAGTCAGATTGTCGGAATTTAAAAATTTAGCTAAGTTTAGAATGATTGGCCCCACGAAGATAAATTATTTGGAAAGAAACTCAGCAATCACACTGCATGCATTAACGCACACCCACACAATAGGTTTGGACAGAGTCAAAATTTTGAAAAGCAATATAGGTAGTTGGAGAGTGAGGTGATTGATTACTCAATCTTTGTTCATTGAGTCTACACCCAACACAGGCGCAATACAAGTGACTCAACGTAAATACCAGAGATATGGAAGATATTATTACCAGTCAAATCAGAGGATAATAAATAATGTTAAAATTTATTTCAATTCACACTATAACACTCTAACAAGTTATTTATTTTACTAAAAAACATCTTATTCCCCATCTTGTTGACTAACAACACTCGTCTTAATTCCCATTTGTATTATATTTTATTGACAACACTAATATTGTTTCCGAATGTACTTTATTTTCCTATCTGTTTCACGCATGTCTATTGAACTTTTATTGATTTCATTCATGTCTAATCAATTTTTACTCATGTATATAAATGAAGCAAGAAAGTTGTGTGAGTACCTTCATATGATTACGAGTGGCAATAAATTGTGCTCGAAATGTCATCAGTAAATATTACTGTATAACACTGGGGGAATTAGCAGATTCGATATGTTAGTCAGGCGTAGTTGAGCGACTCAGATATACCATATTCATGCATAGATTGGAAGGTTATTGCCTTGAATGAAGTGATTTTGTGTTTAAGAACAGTGTCATAGAATCATGTGTGATTGTTACACTCAAGTCAGTGTATCACATGAAAAGAACATTTCTTGTACATGTTGAGTAAGAGACAGAAATGCATAATGAAATGCTTTTATATTGTTGACTCTTTTTTCATTCTCTTGTAGGTCATCATCATCACCATCATCATCAACGTCCCACTTTGGATCCCATGAACGTAGACGCTGGTGCTTCGAACCCAGGAACTGTTATTATATATTCAACACCTGAATCTCAAGCATCTTCACGTCATTCTCGTAGATAAACATGTGTATACTAACGAATAATGTATGTTATCTCACACAATTTCAATGGAAGTGTGAATGTGTGTCGTTGTATTTCATGTTTTGTTTATTGTCCCCTTCACCTTCCGTGACCCTCTCTCTCTCTCTCGTCTAACTGGTCCTTATATATGATTCAAACGTTACAATTGGTTGCGTTTGATTCAAAATTTTATCACATGACTTCGAGTGTGCATTACTCTTGTTTCTTCCACCCCATCACCTACCAATTTGTAATTTGTAAACATTCAAAATCTTTATAAATTTTACAGTTAACTTATGTATTCGTTGGGATCTATGTGTGTATGTATGAATGTGAGTGATTCACTTAACCAGCCTTATTTCTCTGAAATTACGTAACATATTTGCAGATACAAACACACACACACACGCATCTGTATGTGTACTGTGGACACCGACTCACAGATTGTCATTTCTACTTTACTCGTGAACATTACACAACTAACTATATAATATACTCCTACAGTAGTTATTGTGTGGCAGCATTAATGAAAGAATCAACTGACAAGTGAATAAATCGAATTGCACTGTATGTAAATAATAACCGCCTTTTCCTTTTCTATGCTTTTGTTTTGTTTCTTTATACAAATTGAAGAAGTTATGTATTTAACTAGTAGAATTCACAGTATGCTTACGATTTCATGTAATTTCACCGATTTCAAAATAGATTTTGTCACAAGCCAAAATCAGTTGGTGAATCATTGAAAATGGAGGAGTACTGCACAGCTCTCTCGTCATCAGTACACCCGTATGGTCCCATCTGAGATCGAACTCAGTATCCACTGGCCTCGTAACTTGAAGGTTCTGGACCCGATTTCTGATAGATATTAAGCATTGGACTTTTAAAGGGAAATAAGTCAAAGGATTACCAATACTATCTCCGTTATCTGCTCTTTCAGATTTCCTCATTGGAGAATAAATTTTATAGTAATTACTCGCGTTTGGTTGAAAACATTGTTGATGCAACAGCGAAAGTCGATAATAAAGTTTTGAGGCGTCATCGTATGCAATGTCTGGAACGTGTGTTAATCAGTTTGAGCTACTGTGTAAACTAGTCTATATGTAGGCTCATCACTTTCTCTTAGCTGTGTGACTATTATTAGCTATTAGAGCCGGGAAAAGACTACTATTAGACTTAAACCCACACTGCTGAATTCGTATTGAAGTATTTAACGTCAGGACTCTATACCAAATGGGACAACAGGCCTCACTGGACAGAAATGTGGCGTCTAGAGTCGTGGATGTGTGTTGTGTTTCATAGACTCGTGAAAGGCACAGGTGGGGTTATTTAATAAACCTCACCTAGCCAACATGATGAATCTAAAAAACGTACCTTCCGGTTGTCAAGAGGTTCTTCAGCTAGTTTATGTGGATCTGCTGGTTTAGCATTAAGCACTGGAGGGAAAAACTTGCTTCTTGATTGGATTCAACTGAACAGTCATATGTGTGCAGTTCAGCTAAATGGATGTGTTAGAAGGAAAGATTGTGATACCGGTTGATTTCTTTCATAATCTCCGTCCCAAAAAAATTGCATTTCGGAATTAGGGAAGAATGAGTTCTATCAAAACATGTCTGTTTTGATGCTCAAGGCGAAACGCTCAGACTTTGTCTTTTTAGCAAGGAAGTTTCGGCAGTCAAAAGTGTGTATTGGTAGTACCTACGAAGTCTCATGCCGAAGGACCGGCAATGGTTCAAATAATCATCTATTTCTTACCAGTACTGCCTTCAACCATAAGAAAAGACATTGCCCAACCTGGTGACGTCTATTACCAAATCAGCGATGGGCTGAAATAGATCATTCAGCTGTAAGCTATAGATGGAGATGGGCAGTAGGGAACTGTCGTTCCTTCTGGAATATTTGCATAGATTCGGATCACACACTATTACATGTACGTATATGCTTACGACTGATGGGACACAGAAAGCAGACAGCTGCCAAGTCGATAGATCTTCAAATTGACATGAAAATCTTTATTTAGGCAAGAAATAGCTTGAACGCGTTTCCAGGATTGACACGAGAACTCATCCTCAGGAAGCCTGGCACAATATCCAGTCGATTGTAGAAATAATGACAAGCTGTTGATAGCCTGAAATCAAAGCTGCTTCATCCGAACTGTTATAGGCAAGAAGACTGATTCCGTCAAGCTACGAGCATAACGAGGAATGGTCGCTGCTCAGATGCAAGCTGACGAAAAGCCTCCCTAATGGCCATGAACAGTGGTGGGCGACAAAGGTAAAAATGAAAAGTTCATCGGGTGTAAGTAGTATCAGACAGCTATTGATACTCACCAAGGACGTCTGGTAAACGAAACGATCCCCGATATGAACGGTTCTTTGATTACCTTTCAGGATAGACGACTGAGACATTAGATGGAACATTTCGAGAAGCAGTTTAACTAGTCTGCAGTCTCACTAAATTTGCCGAGCATCTAACACCTACTTTTGTGGGATATATGCATTGGCCCTTCAACTGTAACTGAGGTCACAGAAGCTGGGTGTTTCTTCATCTGAAGTGACTCAAAACATCTGGATTTGGTGGTACGACCACAGTGGTGTTTAAGGACGGTAGTGATAAACTGTTGTCTGGGTTAACTTATATATTAAGTAATACCTAGGAATCAGAGGTGGTACTGTGTACTGAGCCGAGTTCGTTCTGTCCTATTTTATAGCTGCAAGGCGTGACCATTGGAGGTGGGAGGTATGATAAGGCTGGTTGTCTTTGACCATTGGTGTTTGCTTTCTAATGCTCATGGTAATCGGTAGAATATAGTGAGTAATACTGAGGTTAGGTAAAGTAGGAAAATGAATCGATAAGTTTGTAAATCTGCATCTACTGAGATTATTGCATGTGTTACGTATGCCAAAACATCGCCATCCTTGTTGAGAAATTTTAACTGACATAAGATTGGATTGGAAAACTAATTTTATCATATATATATATATATATATATATATATATATATATATATATATATTATATATATATATTCAGACCTACAAGACTTGACGTCGTGAAGAATTCGTCTCAGCCACGCACGTAAGTTCGGATATTCTAGCTATGATACTGAGAATCTGAGCTTATAGACACTTAGTAACATGGTTCAAAATGGTGTAAACTGGTAAGGATGTGTTCACCATTTATAGCTTTCGAAATTGTGATCACCAGTCTTTTAGGTTTCATTCTACTAACATTAGTTATCACAACAGTGTGATAGAGACAATGTAACAAATCATGTGTTCATGGGAATAAATAGATATCAGGAACTTGTTCATAATAATTTTGTAAGAATTAATACATATAACTTGAGAAACTTATTTTCTGCTGCCTTTATTTAGTCATGTTTCCAACGTATATGCTTTTAATGCTCAGGCTCAAAAGCTGCAGTTCCTTGACTAAAGTAGGTAGAAAAGATTCAGTTATGTTGGATGAGTGAGTTATGTACACATTGATCCATTAACAAACATTGATTGTGTGAGTCTGTGTTTGTTATTATTAAGGACAAAAGGTGAATGTAGACGAAAACAATATTTGTTTTGCTCTTCATCTATTATTGTTAGAGTACTCAATTACTCGGAATAGATTTTCCACGTGGCACCTTGTGAGCTGGTGAATCTATATTCAGGCTGAAGTATGTGAAGAAGTAATCGGAACTAAAACTCATTGGTGGAAAGCTAAGTACTGAAAACCATGAACCCGTAAAAATGCACGTAAATTTTAGTATGAAATTACGCTTATGAACTATGGAGCTACTGATCTGAACGGCCAATAATGCACCAAAGGATAACGGCTTTGAAAGCTGCTCCATGGACCGGTATCTCAGTATCCAAGTTGTATCATACTACATCTCTCATAACAATTCGTAATGCAGCACATAGTTGTTGAGTTATGTACAATGAGGCATAATCCATTTTTTAATGTTTCTTATCCGTTCAAAATATTCTCACAATACTGAATGCAATAAGATTTATTCATTTATTTTACTTGTGCGTTGGTGGTGCAGAGGTAGAATGCTCGCCAGCCATTCAGTTGGTCTGGGGTTCGACCCCCTGCCGACACACTCCTAAAACTGTCTCAGCTAATGATAAGCCCGGCAAAGAGGGAAGGTTGGGAGTGAGACTAGCAATCTCACACCGTAAAAATGAAACCACTGCTACCGAAACTTCAAAGCTCTAGCTTGAAGCCCTATGTTCCACTGGGAACGCAAAGGAATAAAATCATAAATAATAAGAATTCATTTTACATAATGTGGAGAACAGAAAGAAACAATGAAATAAGAACTTTGGATAAATAATGTCGTTTATTTAGTTCTGAAAAGAGTTGAACAAAATAATATCTTTGAGAAGAACATTCTTTACAGAAGTGCTAAGACTGATGTCCTCCAGTTCCCTACTTATCTTCAGAAGCATCTGATCACTGTTATGTGCATTTATTGGTTCATCTGCTCCTGTTCCATCATCCCCAATGGGTTGATCGCTGACGAAGTCTCAGCGCGGATACTGAGGGCTAGTTTCCCATATGCCAGTTTACGCCGTCTCTGGCGTAGACGTGGTATCCGGCTATTGACCAAAGGGTGGGTGTACTGCTCATCAGTCCACTCCGTCCTCCTTTATGACTGCGAGACCTTGCCATTGAGAATAGAAGACATGAAAAGACTAGCTGTCTTTGATGATAGGTGCCTTCGTTCTATCTCCGGTGTGAAGTGGTATAATGGGGTGAGTAATACTGAGTGAGGTTAGGCGTCGATTGCTAGTTAGGTGGGAGGGGAAATCAATAGACAAGGCTGTGAAGTTACATCGATTGAGATGGTTAGGATATGTGTTGCGTATGCCTAGGCATCGCCTTCCTGGAAAGGCGATGTTAGCTGATTTAGGATCAGGCTGATAAAGAGCTAGGGTTGGTCAAACCAAAACATGGCATCAGTCAATGAAATCCACAACTGTTAGTTTAAGCCACGTAGGAAAGTGTAGACTTCTTGGTCATGGTCCTCGGGACGGTAGAAACCAATGGCTAGAGACAATCGGTGATATGGCTGAAAATCGTTCTCAATGGCTCAGCTGCATCCACTCCTTGTGACTTATAATATCCAATAGAACTATATTGTTCTTCGTTATTACTATTCTTTTTGTTTCATATCCCTGTCTACTGTCTCTATTATGCATTTCTTCTCTTGCTTTG